GGAAAGGGGGGTGCAGGGGGATGAAGGAGAGGACAAGCAATGTTGAAGGAATGGGGTGTAGAAGATAGATGGGAACTAGGAGATAAGAGGAATCAGGGGGGGTGACAAGGGGGGGGGTAAGAGGGATATGTGGATGATGGAGACCCCGGGAGTAAGAAGTATGTGGAGGGATGAACGGGTTTGATGGGTTTGGTGGTCATTGTAGGGGATTGATGGAGATTGTGGTGTGTTGTGGTGATTGCGGGTGACGAGCGAAGTGGATAGCGAGGGTTAATGGGGATTGTGGAGAATTGATGGGGATTGACATGGGCATTGCGGGGGTTGATGGGGGAATGAGAAGGTTGATGGGGATTGTGGGTCAGATGAGGATTGCAGGGTTTGATGGAGGTTGCAGGAGTTGAGGGGAATTGCGGGAATTAATGGGGATTGCGGGGATCAATGAGGATTTTGGAGATAAATGGGATTACGGGGGTTGGTGGGAATTGAGGGGGCTTATGGAGGATGAAGGAGTGAATGGACAATAGAGGTGGCTGATGAAGGTCGCGGCGGGTAAAAGTGAAAAGGGGCGAAAAGAGGAAAAGATGAAAAGGGAGGTAAGGAGGAATGGTGAGAGAAGCGAAGGGTGAGTGTGGATAAGGGGAGTTTGGGGGAGGAGGGTGGATGACGGCAGTTGAAGATGGTAAGGAATAAAGAGGGAGGATGAGGTATAAAGGGCGACAATAAGGTATAAACGGCAAGGATGAGTGATAAAGGGCGAGGATGAGTGATAAAGGGCGACGATGAAGGAAAAACTGAGGAAGAGGGATAAAGGGCCAGAATGATGGATATTGAGGATTACGAGGGTTGAGTAGGGGGTGCTGGGGAATGAAGATAAACGATAAGGAATTAAAGGAGATGATGAAGATTGAAGGAGGTTACGAGGAGTAAAGATGAATGCCGAGGAACGAGGAGGGACGAAGGAACGGAGATCGAAGGGAGAGACCCCTGATCACCGCAACGTGCAGAGGGAGGCTGGCCCACCTGTCGTCCCGGCGCGCGTCGCGGGGCCCGTAGTCCTGGCGGCCGGCGCGCTCGTGTGGCAGCGGGGGCGGGCGGCCGCGCTCGGCGTGGCTGCGCGGCGTGTAGTGCGTGGCGCCGGGCCCCGCCCCCGCGCCGCCCATGTGGTGGCCGTAGCGCCCGCCGCGCCGGTCCAGGTAGTCGTCCTCGCTGAAGTTGGCTTCGCTCGCGGAGTCCTTCGTGATCTCTGTGGTGGGAGAGGGCGGCGGTGGCGGAAACGCCACGTTAGAGTCCGGCGTTGCGCCTCGCGACGCTTAGTGAACGCGTTCCGAGGCGCGTAATCTAGCCTCGCCTCCCTCCCCATGTAATCTTGTAAGTAGTAGCTCTCCCCTCACATTCTCTTTTATTAGAAACGCTTTTAATTCCTGGCCATTAGTCCAGCAACCTATTTAAAATTGTGCAAAATTTCCAAAAAGGTATCTCGCGGACTTAGTTTTATGGTCTCGTTGTCACTCTTCATACTTTGTAGTACGAAGTACGTCTTCCTTTCTCTTTTTACGTAAATTTCGAACACATGAGTACCTCGGTAATAGTCATTCAACAAAATAAAATCAAGCAAAATAATCGAAAATAATTTTAAATATTATTGAAAACTTGAACAAGTTTACACATTTAAAACAGGCAATTACAATATTTTCTTTGTTATTATTACGGTTTTTAGCTCCAAAATACTGGTGTGGATATGATACTAAAGATATGGTATGAATTCCTTTATAAATATAAAATATACCTTCCTTATTTCTACAAACATTGAACACAGTTCTGAGGTAAATATTCAAATTTAAGAAGTGTCAATTTATTCTTTCGATTTTGAACCGTAATACACTAGATGGTGACAATAATATTCATACGGAGAACTAGCGCCGTGAGATGACGTCAGACTATGCAACCCGCTAGACATATTTGACGGGTCAGACCCTAGTAGCCCTGTAGAATAAGGGATTAAGGGTCGTTCATAACCATTCAGCTAATACTTGCAATATTCGCAACTTTCTAAAAGATTTTGACATCTATTAGTAACATTTATAGATGTTCAAAGTAGTACTTGATACGTAAGCTTTTACAAAACATACGCAAATATGTGGGAAGCGGAGAAAATATCCTATTACAGAGATATTTGTTTTTGAAACGTTTGGAGAATTGAGAATGCTAATTTCTGGAGATAATTTTCAGTAAGTCCTTTCTTGTAGTTTTCAAAGGTGCCTGCAGAAGCCAATTAGGGTTTTTCCAATTCCATTTCCTGGGCCAATGTCATGCTTGCAATGTTTACCAAATTTTCTGAATGTCTCATCATGGCAATAAAATGTGATTTCGAGGACAAATTCTTCATTTTGCTAATAATATTACCGAATGTGTTAGAAATAATCTTTATTTCAGTTTTCAGGTGAAGTAATTACAGATTTGCGTACGTCGGCACTTAGTTTAGAGAGAGAGAAAGGAAAAGGAAGTCTGAAGTCAGAGAGAGGAAAGCGCAGAAGAGAGAAGGAAAGAGAGAGAGCAAAGGCGCGCACAGAGGCTCGGCTGCGGAGCGCCGGCTGCACTCACCAATGGCGGGGATGTTCATGTGGTTGGCGGGGTACACCTCCTTGTCGCTGAGGCTCTCGTCGGGCTCGATGACGAGCTGGCCGTGCGCGTCGAGGCGCGCGCGCCCGCCCGCGTGATGGCGCAGAGGGCCCGCGCCCGCGCCCGGCCCGAACCGCCCGCGCCGATCGTCCTTCAGCCCGTCGCGCCCGTCCTGCGCGCCGCACGCGCCCCGTCTCAACGAGCGCACGTCGCCCGCCTGCGCGCGCCCCGCCGGAGCCCGTCCTGGCGCGACCTGCCTCCTCCT